GATCTTTCCATGGTACAATGCTCAGGGGTATAAAAATATAAGGGTTCTAAACTAAGGGACAAAAGGGGCTTTTCCCTAAGAACCAAAGAGCAAAAAGAGCATCTGGGTAAAATTCAGTGAAGGGGCTGATCTTGTTTCAGTCATACCTCAAACACAAGTATGGTTCTGTGACTTAACTCTGTTTCTGTCTAATGACAAGAATTAAAAAATATGATAGATTGTTGTGATAAGGACGTATTCAACAACTTTATCGGAATTTAATAACAAAGTCAGACTTTTTCTGACAGAAAACTTAGTCTAACTTGGTCCACTGGCTTTACGACGCACATTGGTGTTTGCCAGTTAGGCTATTTGGCAGACAGTCATATGAACTAACTACGGTTAACCTGCAAATCTAAAATTTTGACAAATGTATGCTTGAAATAAGTATGTAATAAATTGTATGCCAGAAATTACCTTCTCTGCAACTACTTAAAATTTTTTAGGTATCAATTTAAAAATGTATGAGGGGGCATCGATTTTCAAAATTGTTTTGGGAGGTCTACATGCAAAAAACTTTAAGTCACTGCTACATGTTAATTAGAAACTGTGGAAACTTTTCTACAGTCATTTTACCAGACTTTCCCAGGGAGTATGAATGTAGCCCTTCCTGAGGCAGAAGGATGGAATTAAACTGGCTTCCATAGTTCTTTCCTAGCCCTAGAATTCATAGAAAGCCAACAAAATAAGAAGTAAGAAAGGAATTTATTGCTCACTTGAAAAAAGCAAATCTCTGGGGCAAGCACCATGGTAGTGTACAAAAGATGAAGAATACATGGTTCCTCTACCCTCAGAGGTTTTGGGGCAGGGTGCGGTGGCTCATGCCTGTAATCTCTCAGCACTTTGGCAGGCCAAGGTGGGAGGATCATTTGAGCCTAGGAATTTGAGAGCAGCCTGGGCAACATGGCAAAACTCTGTCTCTACAAAAAATTAAAAAATAAGAAGGGATTTGGAATTCAGCAAGGGGAATAAGACACAAACACAAAGAACTAACGTAAGGGATGAATGGCAGAAGTGCTGAAAAAGAGTTAATATTAACCAGGAAGGCACATTGTATGTCTAAGAAATAAAAAGCAAGCATAATAGACATAGGGCATTGACTTTTTTTTTTTTTTTTCCTGAGATAGTCTCACTCTGTTGCCCAGACTGGGGTGCAATGACGCGATCTTGGCTCACTGCAACCTCCGCCTCCAGGGTTCAAGCAATTCTCAGGCCTCAGTCTCCCAAGCAGCTGGGATTACAGATGTGCACCACTACACCTGGCTAATTTTGTACTTTTTAGTAGAGATGGGGTTTTGGCATGTTGGCCAGACTAGTGTCTAACTCCTAGCCTCATGTGATCCGCCTGCCTAAGCCTCCCAAAGTGCTGGGATTACAGTGGTAAGCCACTACACCCAGCTGGGCATTCAATTGTAAAACTATTTGAAAGTGACCCTGAGGGTCCAGGACACTGGACCTTGGATATGAGTCTGTGATTTCTCTGGCCTACAACTTAATCATGTACTTTGAAGTTAGAAATGGCAGGGAAAGGCACTTAGCCATTGAGTGAACCACAGTAATCACCCAGCACCTAAATCTCATAGCCATGCACATATTAAGGCTCTAGACATTATCTTCACAAAGAATGGCTCCCAAGAGAAAGTCAACTACTAGTGCTGTTGTTAATGAAAGTGAGCAGAAAGAGGGGCATTAAAAAAGTGATGGTTCTCACCAGAAAACAGACATTTTATGATGGTAAATACTCAAAAGTTCAAGATTTGAAAGTCTCAAGGTTTATCCCTCGAGAACATCAAGGATCTAGTAAGCCTGAAGAGAGGAAACGGAAGGGCTTCAATGCCATGACAAGAAAATGGGAATTTGGCCAGGCGCGGTGGCTCACGCTTGTAATCCTAGCACTTTGGGAGGTCAAGGCTGGCAGATCACAAGGTCAAGAGATCAAGACCATCCTGGCCAACATAGTGAAACCCGGTCTCTACTAAAAATACAAAAATTAGCTGGGCGTGGTGGCGTGCACCTGTAGTCCCAGCTACTTGGGAGGCTGAGGCAGGAGAATTGCTTGAACCTGGGAGGTGGAGGTTGAAGTGAGCAAACAAAATGGGAATTTAATCCACAGGCCACAAGAAACCAATAAAAGACCAAAAGAGCTAGACTGCTAGTGGAGAGATGAGTGCCACCGCCTGTGTAAGATAAAGCCTGAAAGTGAATGGGGGCATAGAAATGGACAGGAAAGCAACTGATCAGTGGAAAAGACTAAAAAGAACTTAGTGGCCAACTGAGGGTGGGGAAACAGAAGGGGTGGAAGAGGACCAAGAGTCTGAGCCCTGTGTTGCCAAGGTGGTGAGACCATCAATAGAAACAGGGAAACTGGCTGGTCTGAAGGGGGCAAGTTATCTCAATTGATTGTTCAGTCAGTTACAGATTAAACTCCTTGTTCTACTCTTTCCCCCCTTCTTTTCACTACTGCACTTGACTAATCAAAAAAAAAAAAAAAAAAAAAGAAGAAGAAGAAGAAAAACAGGGAAAATGAGAAAAGGACAAGGGGTGGATATTGGAGCCTGACTATATGTTTTATAAGAAAACTATCAGACATAATGTGGAATTGCTGCTCCTAACATCAAAGCAAATTTCAAAAAGTCCAAAGGGGAGAAGAAAAACACAACAGCTAAGACCAGGGCTAACAGTGAAATAATACTCACCTCGGTATGAATTCAGTACCATCTGCTGAGCAAGGTCCCAAACCTTGATGCTAAGAAGGAAAAGGAAACAGACATTTAATCTTGACCTACACTATCAACATAAAAACATGTACAAACAAGAACTTCCTGTAATCATCATTCCCCAAGTCTTTGCCTCCTGGACTGCTAATGTGGTCTACTTAAAATGGACTGCAAAATCCCTAAGGAAACCTTATAGAAAGGATAAAATTAGTCACTGGGTTCTTAGAATAAGCCCAAAATGTTACCTAATGAGGTTAACAGGATAAGAAAGGCACCCAAAGGAGGCTTAAAGACAGGAGCAGTGAGAACAGGGACCCACCAGAAGTCTTTGCTACCACTGACAGCTTGTGTGCCAGAGTTCAGGACACTGACTGTAGACACAATGTCATCATGCTCATACTTGCAGAACTTGCTGACAATAAGTGTCTCATTCTCATCTAGCTCCCACAATTCAACAGCACCTGTTGGGGTAGGGTAAGGAAAACATGAGCTTGGATTATAACAAGGCAGTAATTCATTTCTAGGATTCAAAGAGACATTGTCACTAAATTAGCAAAGTAAGTTATTCCTATAAAGCATAGTTCACATCATTGGAGAGTTTAGCTAATTTCTGAGCCTTTGACTTTATTCCGAGTTACTGTTTGCCTAATGACAGCCCAGACAAGTAGGTGGAGAATGCTTCTAGAAAAAGACAAGGATGGAACAGCCTGTAAAATTCATTACCTGCTTTCAGTGAGAGAACACTGGAAAATCAGCTCCAAGGGGACAAGGATTAAGTTTCCACAACTGTCTAAGCAGCACACTATCTAGTGATGTTAACACTTCCCAATTACTTCGATAGTAATAAGTATTTGCTGACTAGTTGAATAAATGTCTTGCAGAGTCTTTAAAAATATGTTGAATAACTGAATGCCTTGCACAGTGACTGGTTAAGTATAAAGAATCCACCAAAAGTTGTCTTGATTATGTAGTAGTCAAGCTCAATTGTCAGAGAGGTTAAATCTATTAAAAAGTGGAACTTTTAAACTTCCAACCAATGCCGGCCAACTTCCAAATTCTGATTTTTTTTTTAAATACCAAAGCCTGCATCGCTGAGCCTAACAGTCAACACAAAAAAGCAGAATGAAGACAAGAAAGCGGGAAGAAATGAGAAAAGAACATGTAGCACAGATTGCCTTCAGTGTTATCTTAAAAACAATATTATACTTGGTCTGGGCTGCGGGGGTTAAGGGGCAGGTTACACAGAAGAAAAATGGTTCCAATCCATTGTTTACTTTTGCTATGGATTTTTCCAGGAAATCTCACCAGACCATTTAGAATTTTAGAAAAGATATTTCCCACCCACACAAAAGTTTGCATTTGGGACCAATACTCTCATGCTCCTCCAAGTACTGAGTATAGGACATCAGACACTGAGCTCAGCCCTACCCGTACCCCAAGTTTCCATTCCATCACTCCACCCGGAGGTGGGGGTGGGGGGTGGATGAGGGGAAAGTGACTCACCTGAATCGGAGGCCACTAGAATACCTCTCTCCCCAACCCAAGTGAGGTCAGCCACTCCAGCCTCCGTTTGGACTCCGGCGGAGCAGAAGCCTTCGTTGGGGGCAGCACAAGGGTCCTTAAAAAGCCAGAGGGAGCCGGCCCAGCAGCGGCCACTCAGGCTGGAGGCCCCGAGGAGAAGCGCCCCATCTACAGGGGGGTACAAGCTGTCAGTGCGTGAAGGGTAGAAGGGCTCGTCTCCATGGAGACCGCACAGAACAGCGTGCTGGCCGGGTCTGGATCTGAGCTCAGGAACGCGGGGCAGGGCTGGGGACAGCTCGAGGTCGGGATAACATGCAGGGCGAGGGAAGGGCTAGGAGGGTCAGTCCCCGGGGAGGGGCGCCCTGGGCCGGGGTGAGGGAGCTCCCAGGCCCGGGATCTCGGCTCACCGGACCGGTACCGCGCAGCCTCCAACTGCCGTTCCATGCAGGCGGGCGCATTAGGAGGAAGGTTCCACTCCCGGGCCGCCGGGGGCACTAGGGGAGGCGGGGTTTCCTTTCGCATCTCCACGGTTCCAACTCCAACCTAGACTCAAAATCAAACTGGACACCGGCCAGAGACTCAGCTCCGGCGGCAAACCCCACGTGGTGTGCTTCTGAGCCTCCGCCCCCTTCTCTAGGCTGTGGTAACTCTACTTCTCGCGAGAATTGCTTCAATGGCACCATCCTGCTTTCCGGCTGTTGCTATTCTGCGATAGGTTCTCAGCGTTTCTTGCCTCTTCTCGCGAGAATTTAAAAAAAAAAAAAATCTCCCGATGAAAGTTGAATGAAGAGTACAAAATATTTATCTCGCGAGACCTGTGAGCGGCCATCTTGCGCTGCCCTGACAGATTCTCCTATCAGGGGTCACAGGAACGCTAAGATTGGTCTCTGGATCTTCGCTGACCATGCTGTCCCGGATAGTACTTTCTGCTGCCGCCACAGCGGGTGAGGGATATAGACCCTGGTCTGGGCTATCAGAGTGACTGGAAAGAAGCGAATCTAGGGGTCACTGGGAAGGGAGAAGGGCGCAGCGACAGGGGCTTGAGCAGCGAGTGATCCTCGCCTCTCGGAAGGGAGCCTGGAGTCTTGAGTGACAGGAAAAAGGGGTACATGGCCTTAGTGATCTAGCCTGGCAGAGGTGAGGAAGGGGTAAACCAGATTTCATTTGACTTTGCTGACCTTCGCCTTGTTTATCTGCAGCCCCCTCTCTGAAGAATGCAGCTTTCCTAGGTCCAGGGTAAGTGTAAGGGTAATGCTCCCTTTCGTCTTTGTTTTTAATCATCTTTTATTTCTCGATTCCTGCCCCCACCCCCTTAGCTTTAGGCCAGAAATTTCTTTCCGATAATTTTGGGACACTTAAACCTTCTTTCAGACACTTGTTCCTGTAACTGCCAGGAACGCTCTCAAATCACCTAATAGACTTCAACAGGATAAGTAACGTATTCCAACTAAACTAGAAATTGGTTTTGGTGTTTTCTGTACCCTCCCCACTCTTTTGTGACCTTCCCTTGGGACCTTATGTAGTTCCTGCAGCCGGAATTGGAATAGATTACATACCCAAGAACAAATTTTGTTCAACAAAACAGTAAAGCGTGTTGTTTACAGTCGATTTCCCAGATACCTCCTTTTTACTGCCATATGATAATAATCAGATAAATCATTCATTGATTCAGTAAATATTTTTGTTGCCAAACACATAACCAAGAATACAAGAATAAGTATGGCTAATTACCTGCTCTCATGGAGCTCACAGTCTAAGAATGGTAGAGTATTGGTTTAGAGTGAGGGCTCCAAAGCCAGAACAGGATACACCTGGCTCCTCCAGTTACTACCTGGGTGACATCAATTTCCTCATCTACAAAATGGAGATAATAGTACATTGTGGCTTATGAGAATTAAGAGGCAATTTCTGTGAAACTCAAAAACAGTTTCTTGATACATGGTGTGTGCTTATTAAATCAGCTGTTACTGTTAAAATTGTTTCATAAGACATGTCGGTTTTCCTAGAGATTTCTCTTTTTACTTCCAAACTTAGTTCTAAAACATGCAAAATATGGTAACTATTACATTGAAAAAAATGGACTTGAAAATGTGGTCTTATTTGTAATTAAGTATCATGTATGCAATAAAGTAAGGCTATAAATGACTGCTTCCAACTTATAAGAAAAAGGACCCCATACAGACTTGTAAACAAATAATTGTAATACTGGGTAGTAAATAAAATAACTGTATTTACAAGATACAAGAAATATCCTTGGTTTTCTTTCACACTCCATGTCCAGTACTTCAGCAAGGCTCTTCCTCTAGAAATTTGTACTCTGGCTGCTACTTCCACTACCACTAAAGTATGAAGCACCATAAACTTTCACCTAGGTATTTTAGTAGTCTCTTAATTAGCCTTGCATCTCTATTCTTGTCCCATTACAGCCCATTCTCATAATAGCCAGAAGGATTATGTCATTCTCCCACCAAAGCCTTCCAGAGCTCCCCATCCCACTTGAAATAAAATCCAAACTTAGCATAACCCACAAGTTCTAACATGAATTGATCCCATTCTGTCTCCTTCTGTTCTCTTTTTAAGTCATTCTCCAACCATACTGGCCTTGGTCTTCCTCTGAAAACTACCAAGCGTATTCCTGCCTCAGGATCTTTCTACTTGCTCTTCTCTCTTTTCCCCAGATCATTGGGTCAAATGCCATCTGACTCCCTACCAAATACTCTTCCCCGTTCTGTTCTCCCTATTCCCTTACCTTGCTCAGTTTCTCTTCATAGCACTTACAGCTACCTGAAATTTTGTATGGAGATACACACTCACCCTTCCCATACCCCCACTAGAAAGTTGAAGGCTGGAGCTTTGTTCCCGGTGCCTAGTATTAGTAGAAAGTCAGTAAATGTTTTATTGACTAAAAGAATGAATGTTAGCCCAAAGTGGGGGAGGGCTTTACAAATCTGGAGGCTGATTGGTCTCGGTAGTCATTGCTACTGGTTGGTCTTGATAGTCATTGCTATTAAGTCATGGTATGAAGGGAATAAAAGGCAGAAGGAGCAGCATAGGGCAATTTTTTTGTGATGTTTCTTCGTTTGTTTTTGAGAGCTGTTCAGTAATTCCAGAAGAATAAGAGAATGAAGGAAGATGAGGTTATAAAATTTGACAGGATCAGTCACAGTGGTGGTTCATTCCTATAATCCCAAGGCTAAGGCAGGAGGATCACTGGAGCCCAAGATTTCAAGACTAGCCTGGGCAGCATGGTGAGACAAAAACAAAATTTTTTTAAATATCTGGGCATCGTGCCATATGCCTGTAGTCCCAGCAATTGGGAAGGCTGAGGTGGGAGTATTGCTTGAGCCCAGGAGTTGAAGGCTGTGAGTGAGCAGTGATGGCACCACTGCACTCCAGCCTGGGTGCCAGAGTGAGACCTTGCCTCAAAAAAAAAAAAAAAATTGACAAGTACTGTTAGACTAAGTAGTTTTCTGTAGGCAGGAGACCGCCTGTTGAGTTTGCAAGTCAAATTTTCATTTTAGAAACATTGGCAGTAATGTGAGTGGCTAGGTTTAAGTTGGGGAATTTAATAAGAAGCAGAGGTCAGGTACAGTTGCTCACACCTGTAGCTTCAGTACTTTCAGAGGCCAAGATGGGCAGATCACTTGAGGCCAGGAGTTTGAGACCAGCCTGGCCAACATGGCAAAACCTTGTCTATCCTAAAAATAGAAAAATTAGCTGGGCATGGTGGCACACACCTGTAATCTCAGCTACTCGGGAGACTGAGGCACAAGAATTGCTTGAGCCTGGAAGCGGAGGTTGCAGTGAGCTGAGATTGCTCCACTGTGCTCTAGCCTGGGTGACAGAGCAAGATTCTGTCTCAAAAAATAAAATAAAATAAAAAAGCAGAAAGACCAGGTCTTGGATTGTTAAACTAAGCAAGAGATGAGAAGGGCTTAGACTAAGGTAGCTAGCTGAGGAGAGGGCTTGTCAGCCTAAGCATATTCTTTAGTGCTGTGATTTAAATCAGTCCCCTGGGATGGTTTGTCCCCTGGGGTGCTTTGCCCGCAGGGGACATTTGGCTATGTCCGGAGATACTTTTCAGTGATACCATTGGGTGGGTAGGGGAGGGAGGGTGCTAATGGTATCTATTGTATAAAGGCCACAAAGATACTGCCAGACATTCTACAGTGCACAGAACAGCCTTTTATAATAAAGAAGTATCCAGTGCAAACATCAGTAGTGCTGAGTTGAGAAGCCTTGATGTAAGTGAAGAAATCTCAAGCATGATTCTCAGATTTCAAAACCTGGCAGGGCAGCTAATATATTTGGAGGCAGAGATAATATTCAAAAGATAAGCATTGTACCAAAATAAATGAAATAATGTAAACTCTTACATTACAAGGAGATAGAAGTTGAGAGCGTGGAGGAATAGAGGGTAGGAAGTGGGACAAAAATATACTGAAAACTTGAAGGGGACCAAACTTGACAGCAGATATAAAGAGACTAGATTTTATATCATCAGAATCTTAAGGAGACATTGGCATACTGTAACTGTTAAAAATGTAGTCTTAAACTGCTTTAATACAAGAATAGTTTCCATATCCACTGTTGATAATAGTGCAATTGTTCAAGCTCAGTACTGGCAATAAAAGTTTTCCACAAGTATTTGTAGAATGAATGAGTTGGCCAAACTAAGAGTATTATATTCAGTTCTGTTTACCTGATTTAAAAAAAAAAACAAAACAAAACAGAGAGCTCCTTGTGGGCAATCAGGATTGTGAGGGAACATGTTTGACCCAGGTACATGTCTGTTATCTTACACAGAAAAGCAAAATTAGGACTAAGAATGGATTGAAGTTCCAAGAATGTATGTAGTATCTCAATTTAAAGATGAACATACTTAGAGCTACCCAGTACTGAAAAAGTCTGTTACATATAGTGATTAGCACCCCCATCAAAAGAGTGTTCAAAAAGATCAAGGAGCTTACAACATATCAGGCATATATCAGCTAACCACTTACATAAAACTTTGCCATGTGCCAGACATCATTCTAAGCACTTTACGTGTATTTATTTTCATTTTACTGAGAGGAATCTGAGATTACAAAAGCTTAAGCTCTTTACTCAAAGTCAAGGGGCAGGTCTAGGATTTGAAACCAAGGAGTCTAGCTGGCTGCCACATCCACATTCTTATATATTTCATTGCTAATAATAGACGTACAAAGTGCTAGACAGATGATCTGCAAGGCTTATAGAAAGGGTTCTAGTATTGGGTAAAAGGTTAAGTATCTGTGATTAAGTCTTTGCTCTTGTCACAGCTGATTACTGGACCCTAACCTTCCTATTCCCAGTCCGTTTTCTTTCCAGTTAGAAAACTGCCTCAATCCTCAACCTTATTTATTGTTTCTGCTAATTATTCATACGTTGTATTCTCCTTAAAAAAAAAAAAAAAAAAAACCGGCTTCACATTTGTACAATTGCTACCTGTAGGGTATTGCAAACAACAAGGACCTTTCACACAGGGCAGCCACACCTTGCCCCTGTACCACCTCTTCCTGAATATGGAGGAAAAGTTCGTCATGGACTCATCCCTGAGGAGTTCTTTCAGTATCTTTATCCTAAAACTGGTGTAACAGGTGAGCATTTTTGCTGAATCTTTGATGATATATTTTGATGGCACCACTAAAATCAAGTCAGGTGGGTTTGTTTTTTTTTGTTGTTGTTGTTTTGTTGTTGTTTTTTTTTTTTTGAGACAGGATATTACTCCATCACCCAGGACGGAGTGCAATGGCACAATCACAGCTCACTGCAGCCTCCATCTCCCCAGGCTCAGATCATCCTCCCACCTCAGTCTCCCAGGTAGCTGGGACTATAGGCGTGCACCCAGCTCATTTTTCTATTTTTTGTAGAGACAGGGTTTCACCATGTTGCCCAGGCTGGTCTCCCAACTCCTGGGCTCATGGGATCTACCCACCTTAGCCTCCCAAAGTGCTGGGATTACAGGCTTGAGCCACCCGCCTGCAGCCACAAGTCAGCTGTTTTAAAAGGAAATTGTAACAATGGATTTGATTGCGTCAACCTGTCTTTGGTATAAATTTATTTGGGATTTTAACTTAATTTTACAGCATTATCTCTATTCATTAGTAGATCCAATTTTTTGATGCCTGCTTTATCAGGCATGGTTGCAGGCATACAGTGTTGAACAGTGTTAAGTGCCTGCTGTCATGGAACAGACATTCTGTTGTAGGATGACAATAAAGAAATGAGTAACTGTATAATACACTGCCTTTCTTGGCCTGTACCCAAGTATTGCCATGACTGTGGAACATTGGCAACCAAGGATTGTGTTTTTTAGCCCTCGAGTCACCTAAAGTAGCATTTTCCTAACTGAAATTGCTAGAAACATTAGTCTCAGACTTCCATAGGTGATAAAAATTTTACATATGATAGACATTTCTTGCAAATTCATATTTAAAATTTATATATTAAAGACAGTTTTAAAAAGCTGTTGGAATTTTGTATGTGAAACTGGGTAAAATGTATTTGAGATTGTAACCCTGTTATTCTCATGATATATCCTGCCATCCTATGATGATTCTCAGAAATACTGTAAAATGTTTTACTAAAAGCCTGCTCTGGCCCTCCCTTACATCCTGTGAGGCACAGAGGAAAGACTAAAGAAATGTAAATCATGCTTTACATCCTTTCAGAATTCATGGCCTGGCTAAAGAAGAAGCAATATTTGAACTGTTGTAATCAGGTGCTACAGGAGTTGAGAATCCTAATATTTATTCATCCTTTTATATACATATCACTTTATAGCTGGCTTTTGCTTGTTTCTCTTGTAAATTTTATCTTGTCTAGTGTTCCCATTCAATAAATAGTATATTTTGCTGGACAAATTACTTTAGAAAGTTATGTGACATCTTTGTAGAATAACTTAAGTTACTGTGCTGGGTATTGTACTTAACGTTACTTCTCAAATTTATCAAATTGAAGAAGGTACTGTCCCCATTTTACAAATAAAGAACTAAATTCAGAGATTATTTAGATTGCTCAGTTTCTTTAAAGTTGTAAAGTCAGTATACGGATTTCCCTGAGCCCATATCTTTATTCTTTCAACTCTACCATACTGCTTGCTGCTCAATCTAGTGTTTTGTCTTTGAATTTAATTAAGTCATTACTTTGCCTTCAACTGATCAAATGTAGAAGTACCTTTCTATCTTTCCTCTTTTAGGTATAGCATATCCATGCATAAAACAGCTCTTTCTTCTTTTAGGACCCTATGTGCTTGGAGCTGGGCTTATCTTGTATGCTTTATCCAAAGAAATATATGTGATTACCGGAGAGACCGTCACTGGGCTAGTAACAATAGGGATATATATCTTTGGAATTAAAAAATTTGGTCCTTCTGTTGCAGCATTTGCTGATAAACTCAATGAGGTAAGAACCATAAACATTATTTCCCGTTTTAGAATAGCAGAAACATGAAGGTCATCTAGTGATATTTTTGATGTGAGTGTTAGAGGAGCAACATAGAAATGAATCTAATGTTTCAAATAAATGTTAATGTTATTACTAATTTGAGATTTTTTAAATATCTATTAAACCCTTCAGCTTTTCTATAGTTTAATCATTCAAAACATATCTTGTAGCTATTACGGGCAATCCTTTTTATGGATTTGTGCATTTCTTTCTATATATGTTTCTTTGTGGGTGTTTTTACAAATGAGAGACAACTTTGAGAAAACATGAAATCTCCTTTTTTTTTTTTTTTAACCCTAT